TCCTCCCTTTTTTGCCTTTGAATGGGCGGCGGGCAGAGTTATCCGCCGGAGCATCTGGCCAGACGTTTCTGAAAGAACGCAGCTCTTTTTTGCAGACCGATCCGGGCTTAGCTACCTGCTAACACTTATCAACACCGTTGGGATGGAAATGGCAAAGCTAATGTCAGATTAGCGACAAAGGACGACGTCCAGCAGCGGCCTTCACGGCAGTCTGGACCTCAGTGTGCCATCACTGGGCTGCCACTGTCTGTTATAGTGGTGACCGAATAATGTACTGGCGATTTTTTGGTAATTAATTGATTTTTTTAAACAATAAAAATGAATTTCAGTAAACAAGATTCTTAAATACTTTAAGTAAGCCTTACTTTAAAAAGCCGCTCAAACAGCACAAACTGAATGCACTGCCCTTTTAAAATCTTTTTTAATTTATTAAATGAAATCGAGATAATAAAATAATGCGATTAATCACAATTAACTATTTTAATAGAACTATTTTATATAAATATATAAACACTAACCCTCTGTGACAAAAGTACAATTCAATTTTGAAGATTTTTCTCAACTTTTAGTAATGGATCGATTATCCGTGGCAGCCTACAATTTTTTTTAACTTATTGTTTTTTTTATGTTGTTTTGTACGAATACACATTCATATAAATAAAATACAAAGGAGGCGGCAAAGAAATAAAAAAGTACATGAGGTCTTATTTGAAAGGTGCAGCATTTCAAACATAAAACTCAACAGCGATCTCTGTTTACATAGAAAGGCAGGATGATCAGAGTCAAAGGTCTCAGTTCACCCCGCTTACTCGGGTATAGCAATCCCGTTTCATCCAGTTTTTTTCCCCTCTCTCCTTTTAAAGACGTAGGGAGTAAGTCAACATTTTCATGGAGTGAATATAAGTCACAATTTCAACAACAAAAAGTCCAGAGTTGGGGGGGGTTCTTCTAACAGCTTTCTTACAAGCAACCAGAAATATATTCAGTAGGTAGCCTTCACTCTTTCTTAAGCCTTCAGGGGTTACAAAAAGATACATAGGATTAAATGACAGCTCCACAGAAATAAGTCTCCCCATATTAATCCAAAAGGATACTACATGCGCATGGTCTACGTCCATTGGCCCACACTCCCTCCAGCAGGGGAAGTGGGCCCAGTTAACCGTAATTTGAGTTTGGGCGTTATAAAAAAATCTGATCAGGCTCTTCCATCAAAAATCCCTCCAAATCAATGAATTAGTGGCAGTACAATGGTTTTCCCATGCTCGTGACCGTACTTCCTCTGGAATCTTTTCCTGTGTATCTTGTTCCCAGTGAAGTCTCACAAAGCTAGTAGAATTTTTATTCATTTTAATTTTTATTCATTAAACAGATGTCTTTGTTCGGTTTATATAACCAATAACCCTTTTATTTCCTTCACCCTCATACGCATCCATAAAAACTGAATCAATCCTGAGAAAGGAGCGGGGTTAGGGCCTTTAACCTCTTTCATACAGAAGTGACGGATCTGTAAATCCTGTTTACCAAGGTCAAAGGAGCCGCATAATTTCTGGAAACTGTCAAATTCCCCATTTGACACCATTTTACAGAGGGCAGTAATACCCCCTATAGACCACTGTCTGTAGGTGGCAGCCCATAATGAATAAACAATTAAAACGAAACGAGTTTTGTGCAATGAGTATTTATACGTATTACATATTACACTGTGGCAGCTGCTTCGTCTGTGTGATTTCGCTTTAGTGGACTTAATAAAAGCAGATTTCCTTTTAAAGCTAGGAATTCATGGCTGGCTAAATTGTAGGTTGTTTTAGAAAAATAATCGCCTCATTCTCCCAGCTTGAATCGAGGAGTTTAATGTTTTAATCTTTTCTCATTGTATTCCTTAAAAAAAAGCAGTTTCAGCTCCGGCCAGTAGAGGGAGCTGTTTTGTGTATTGTTGCTGTGTTTGTATGATGACAGTGAAGCTGAACTGAAATGAACCGAGTCGCTGTTTCCGTTTCCGTTGCGAAGATTTCAGCTGGGCTCTTTCCGGCCGTGTTGGCGGAGTCGGAGTGCGGGGATGATTAAAGGGCTTTAATATTCCATTAGCGCGTGGCTCTGTTAGCGTAGCGAGCGCAGAGAGGCTGATGTGGTTCTAATTGAGGCCGTAGTACGAAGCTGTCTGGACCTCAGCTTGCATGAAGTGCTCTAATTAGAGGCTTGAGCAGTGCAATGTCTCTCTCTCACACTCGTTCATTCTCTCTCTCTCTCTCTCTCACACTCGTTCATTCTCTCTCCCTCTCTCTCTCTCTCTCTCTCTCTCTCTCTCTTCATCACACTTTGTTTCTTTGTCATTTTTGGATGCATCATGTTCCACATTTGAAATTCTGACCAATGCAATACACTTCATACCGTTTAGTGCATTATATGCATCATCATTTTTCTCATTTATTGTTTACACTATAAAAGTGTTTATATATATATATATGTATATATAATATGTATATATATATAATATGTATATATGTGTATATATAATATGTATATATATGTGTATATATATATATATATTTCATTCTGTTACAGTAATAATAATAATAAATAATGATATAAAGGTTTTGTTAAGGTTATGATGAAATGAGATAATAAGCTTTTGTTACAGGAATGAGGTTTAGATGTTTTGTTACAATAATGAGGTTTTGTTACAGCTATGATGAAATGAGATAATGAGCTTTTGTTACGGAATGAGGTTTAGATGTTTTGTTACAGTAATGAGGTTTTGTTACAGTAATGATGAAATGAGATAATGAGGTTTTGTTACGGTAATGAGGTTTTGTTACGGAAATGATGAAATGAGATAATGAGGTTTTGTTACGGAAATGATGAAATGAGATAATGAGCTTTTGTTGCAGAATGAGGTTTAGATGTTTTGTTACAGAAATGATGAAATGAGATAATGAGGTTTTGTTACGGTAATGAGGTTTTGTTACGGAAATGTTGAAATGAGATAATGAGGTTTTGTTACGGTAATGAGGTTTTGTTACGGAAATGATGAAATGAGATAATGAGGTTTTGTTACGGTAATGAGGTTTTGTTACGGAAATGATGAAATGAGATAATGAGGTTTTGTTACGGTAATGAGGTTTTGTTACGGAAATGATGAAATGAGATAATGAGCTTTTGTTACAGTAATGAGGTTTTGTTACGGGAATGATGAAATGTTTGTTTTTAGTTGAGTTTGGTGGTCTTTGGATTTCTGGATTATAATATTCATGTGACTCGATGAATGTGCTTTAGCGACGTGGTGTTTTTTTTCCACGTTGCTCCCTGTCCGATTCTCTCAGCGCTGACAGAGCCCTCTCCGTAATCACAGACACTTTCATCCACTTACTGCTGTCTCTATCCTCTTAGCGCCGCGGCCTCTCCGCCTCATCTAGATTGCATGTTTCTAAAGGCTAAATTACCCCACTCAGTTTGACACGGCTGCTAAAAGCTACTTGTGCTTCGCGGAGCCGGCAGAATTCAGCAAGAGCGGAAAGAGACGGTGTTTAAAAAAAAAGGCTGCAGAAATGACTGGAATGATCTGGAAGGCAGATAGAGAGACAGAGACAGAGAGAGTAAAAGAGAGCGAGAGAGGAGGATAGGTAAAGTGGGCAAGGGAGGGGTGGAGAGCGAGAGAGAGAGCTGAAAGGGCAGAATAAAGGGTGCGCGATCCTTTTTCACAGGACAATTGAAACATAATTATTTCATGGCAGCTTGTGTGCTCAGTAAATCTGCGAGTAGGAGCGGCATTTAACTTTAATTAGCTCTGATTTATTCATTCTGACTGGATCGCTCGCAGAAATTGGATCATCTGATTATAGTCGAGCATGACAATGACCTGATTAAACACTTCATAAAACCCACAGAGAGAGAGAGAGAGAGAGAAGAGAGGGAGAGAGGAAGCAGAGAGTAATAAGAGACAGCAAAAAAAGAGGGAGAGGACAGGATGGAGAGGAAGAGAGACAGGGAGAGAGTAATAAGAGAGAGGGAGAGGGAGAAAGAGAGAGAGCAAGACAGAGGAAGGAGAGAGAGAGAATAATAAATGAGAGAGGAAGGAGAGAGAAAGAGAGAGAGGGAGTGAGAGGAACAGAGAGAAAGAGAGCGAGACAGACGGGATGGAGAGAAAGAAAGAGAGAGAACCAGGTATGAGAGAAAGAGAGAAACAGGGAGAAAGTAATGAGGGGGGGGGGCAAGAGGGAAAGGGAGAGAGAGAGAGAATAATGAGAGAGATGGACAGAGAGAGGGGTGAGAGGAACAGAGAGAAAGAGAGAGAGAGCCAGGGAGAGAGAGAGAGAGAGAGAGTATTAAATGAGAGAGAAAGAGAGAGATGGACAGAGAGAGGGGTGAGAGGAACAGAGAGAGAGAGAGAGAGCGAGACAGACAGGATGGAGAGAAAGAAAGAGAGAGAACCAGATAGGAGAGAAAGAGAGGGAGAGAGACAGAAAGAAAGTAATGAGTGGGGGGGACAAGAGGGAAAGAGAGAGAGAATAATAAATGAGAGAGATGGACAGAGAGAGGGGTGAGAGGAACAGATAGAAAGAGAGAGACCATGAGGAAGGAGAGAAAGAGAGAGAGAGAGAGAAATGGACAGAGCGAGGGGTGAGAGGAACAGAGAGAGAGAGAGACTGTGAGGAAAGAGGGAGAAACAGGGAGAGAGTAATAAGAGAGAAAGAGCGCAAGAGAGAGGGGGAGAAAGAGACAGGAAGAGAGAAAGGAGAAAGAGAGGCGAGAGGCACAGAGAGAGAGAGAGAAAAGAGGGAGAGAGAGATAGACACAGTGAATAGTGGTCAAAAATTCCAGTTCTCCCAGTTTCCTCTCTTCCCTTCCCAAATGTAGTCAGTCAGCCCGTCGTGTGGTGTTCAGTAATTAATAGACCTGATTCTGTGGTTTCTGACTCTGTGTGACTCACTGTTACCTGTGAAGACGGACTAAAGCGCTCAGCCTGATCTCGGGACCCTGAATGTTGTTGTTTGTCTCTGCAGGTGTGACGGCGAATGAGAGTTCGGAGTCTAAAACCTGCAGCTCTGCTAAAGTCTCGGGCCTCCAGCGCAGTCAGGAACAGAGCAGTAACGTTTCCTTTATTCCGGCCGTGCCCAGCCCCACCCCAGGCTCCGCCCCCACGGGGTCCCCCGCCCCTGCGGCCCCCGCAGCCCCCCCACCCGCAACACAGCACGCCTCCACACCCGCACTCAGCATCAAGAAAGAGTCGGCACCCCCTGACCCCACCCCTCCGCTCCTGAGGAACCTATCACATCCACCGGAGCACAGAGTCCCGCCCCCAGGCCACCACAGCCGACCAATCATCAGCCACCACCATCCACTGCCCTACAGCCTTCACGACATCAGGTAAACAAACACTGCAGATTCAGTAGGGAAGGTGATGCCTGTCGAATTTATCTCCAAAATATTTCTAAATATCTTAATTTAGTGATACAATATTTATCAATTTACTCAAAATTTAATTGCTGTTATTAGTCGAATATTGAAAATGAAGCCCATAATTACCAAAAAAGAAGATACAGTGTAATATCACATTTTTAGTAGTAGTATCGATACATGGAGGTCTAAGTATCAAAATTTTAAGCCAGTTTACCAAACGCATTTCTGTCTAAATCCACAAGGAGGCGCTGTCTCTCGCTCTTGGTGCAGGACAGCAGGGTTTGAGTCACTGCTTAACTCACTCGGTATCTTTTGCAATAAACTTTCTCAGGTTTTGAAAGTTGTAAATGTGCGTGCTGGTGAGATCCTGCTGGTGTGGGTTCACAACCATTTCTTCTCTGAATGGCAAACACTAAAGCTAATAGCGCCCCCGCTGGAGAAACTTCACACTGCTAGACGGGAGTTCTAAAGCCATCCCCACCCCCTCGCATCTTTAAGAAACGAGGTGTTTTCGCTCGTTATAGAGGTGCACTGGAATTCAGCCAGCTGTTTAAAACTTAAACTAAAATTTTCTAAAATTAAAGTCTTCTAGTTCTTTAGCTCTTCTTCCTCCGAACCTGGCATCTTTTAAGCGTTCACCGCATAAATATGTTATCTTAAATTAAACGTCTTCTTACATGTATATTTTGTTTGGTTTTAGTTTTCAGTTTTCAGCTACGTGTCCTGAATTTCAAAATGAAATCATAGAGGCTTGACACTATGGCTGCGTTTACACAGCAGGTAAAAGTGGGCCAAATCTGATTTTCTCCCCAAATCTGATTTTTTTTTGTTTGGTTGTTCACAATATCTTGTAAATGTGATCTGAATGTGACATCAGTCTGAACACATCAGCTCCTAAACTGAGCCACATGCACAAATGAACAATGCTTCGCGTGGCTCGTCCAGAGGTAAACAATCATGACGGCCAGCGAACGCCAGTCGCTCCCGGAGCTTCAGATTCGTCTTCGCCAGCATCACAGGAGAGATTATTAAGTTCCAGTGGTTGACAGCTGGACTCATCACCCACAGTGTGTTCGACTTCGCCGTATAAAGGGCTCGTTATTCGGCCACGGTCACTTCTTTGGTTCGTGTCCTCGGATTCTTTAAACTGTTCTCTGACGCTGCAGCCTCGGCCTCCTCCAGCCGCGTTCAGCCGTTTCTTTAAAAACCTCTTCGAGCACGAAGCGGTTTGATGAGTCTCTTTATATTTTTTGGTACAGAAACGTCAGACTAAATGTTTACAGCTCGAAATGATGACGAATGTTGAGTTGGACTGACATAAAGGTCGCAAGAATTCCGATCTGGCTGTTCAGACTGAGTCGCTTTGCCGCAGATCATTCGATACGTTTTTTGCTGTTCACACTGCCACACAGACACACATCTGAGTCACATACGGAGAAAAAGATCGGATTTGGGCCACTTTTACCTGCTGTGTAAACGTAGCCTATGACACTTGACACTATGGTTTCATATCTAAAGCAGTGCAGCGCACTAAGATTTCATATTGCTGTGAAGCTCCTTTCTCTCCGGTTTTAAACTAGAAGTGGTGCGGCAGCTGAGGTGGAATGTCTCCACAACACTTTTGTTTTTAAACCCATCATGACTCGCGAGTGAAAATGCTGTGCCGTTTTGATTAAATTACAGCCCAAAAGTCAAACCTCCCTCCGTAATTTTATTGCCATGCGTATTCACGAGTCTAGCTCTAAAGAGACGTGTAGGCGCTCCCCTGATAAACTAATCCAGTCTGAATAGGGCTTATGACACGTTGAAGTACATAGAGCGCATATTATAAAGGATCGGAAGTTGATCTGGCTTAATATACACCTAAAATCATCTCCGATCCGGATCCTCTGTATCCCATCGGGACATGCTAATCTATGCTCTGATACAGTCTGTACTCTGTGATATGGTCTTGCACTATTCTGTAGTTGACGCCGTGGTCAAATAAGGAACTCAAGGCCTGAATTAGTATTTTAGCATTTAATTTTATATTTGTAAATTATCTCTGGATCCCCTGAATAATGTCATGTAATAATGCTCATGTGCACAAGCTACAAGCAGGCTAACGTGGTGTTTAATTGACGTTCTGTAAAAGTTAGGTTACTACTATGGGGAGTGAAAGTGCAGAACTACGCCATCTGCTGGTTGCGTTCAAAGCATCATTCATGTCACTGTAAGAAATTTAATTATAAATCGCTTGAAGCTGAAACTTTTGTGTCAGCCATTTCACGAAAACAACATACTAGCAGAATATTTGTCTGAGAGCTAACTGTAGGGATTAAAATACAGTGACTTGGTGACTTCGTGGGATGTGAAATTGCGATGTAAAACCTGTGACTGTGTTTAATGTAATATATAACTGAATTTAACTGAATTTAGTGGCAACACGGCACATTATGCTGTACAATGTATAACGCGCAGCACCTCAAAATTTATTATAACCTAAATTTTGTGCATACACCCCAGGGGGCGCTCTGACCGCTCTCGTCACTACTCCAACACATTCTATAACGCTAACTAATTGAACTGTAACTAAAACAGATCCGATCAGATTTAATTCCTGTAACCGGTGGAGTCCCTCAGGGCTCAATCCTGGGTCCAGTTTTATTTAATATATATTAATAATCTCGCTTCTCAGACTGCAAAGTGTACAAAGTGTACAATTTTATGCGGTTCAGCCAAATCTGCTCGGCAAGGCAAGGCAAGTTTATTTAAATAGCACCTTTTATACACTGCAGTTATTCAAAGGGCTTTACAGATGAGGAAATACAAAGATTATACAAATTTATCATTCAGACAGCAACATAAAGTAAAGGAGAATTGAAATTAAAACATGATTAAAACAAGATTAAAAAAATATATTTTAAAAGAGAAGATTAATTAAAAATTAAATTAGGATAATAAAGTGCTGTTACAGAAAAAAGAAAAACTACAGTGAGAAAATATAGAATATAGAAAAACTCCAGTGCTCATTTTTCACCTTACAGGCTGCTCTGAACAAACACAAACTAGTTTTACATGCCAAGAAAGCTAACAAACCTTGTTTGATCCAGACCAAGACTTCTCATTTCGGTACGAACCAAAATAGTAGGTGTGAAAGGCGCCTCGGAGGACCGAAATTTGGTCTGACCAGAAGAGGTGGTCTCGATCCAGATCAAACTGAACCATGGTTCGGTTTTCACACCGCAGATGGTTCAGACTTTTGGACCAGTTACTGGAAGTTCAGGCAGAAGAAAAACAACAGAAGAAGAAAAAGGAGGGAGAAATAAAAATGTTTTTAAAAAAAAACTTTTTTTTTAAATGCTGGAACTTTTTTTTACTGTTAATTTGTTTGTGTAGTTCTTTTAAATTTAATTTAAACTAATTAAATTCCATTTTATTTTCATTTCCCTGTATTCCTATTTCAACTACTTTAAGGAGAACTCCACCCATTTTTCAAAATTTTACATAATTACGTGTAAATGGAGTTGTTCAGAGTGAAACGCTCTGTTCTGGATAAACTTAGCGAGTCAGAATTGTTCACAGTGGTGGTGATAGGAACCAGACGTCCACCTCTAAAAGCTCCCTCACAGAAAGTTCCTACAGTAAATGGTTATGAATTCACTGCCTGATGACTGAGACACTGTTTTATGACAGCTTTGAGAGGATTTTGGCCTTAAACATCTGTATTTTTTAATTTCCCACTATTTTCCATCATCAACATTCCATATAAACTCAGAAGACTCGTGTAGGTTCTCTGGTGGTTCTGGATAGTAAATAAAATGTCTATATTTGTGTTGTAGTCATGGCGACGCCTGGTTCCTATCACCACCACTGTAAAGACATCTGAACCATTTCAGTGACTTTGCTAAAATTTCAGCAATTTAGTTATTTAGTTAAGCAAAAGTATCACAAAATTGGTGAAAAATGTGAGCAAATTTAATTACGTGCGTTGCATATAAATCATTCATGTCTTCCATATAGAAAAGGATTCCCAACCAAACTCACAGCAAGAAGATTTGATCAGCCCAGTGGTTTCAAATGCAAATATAACACAATGTTCAATGTAGTCTCTCCAATTTCAGAGTCTACAATGAACCGTTTCACACCAAGCCACTCTGAATGACTTATTTACATCTCAACCACTGAATAATAGAGGAAATTTTGAAAAATTGGTGGAATTCCCCTTTTAATAATGTCACAATTAAAGCGATACAGTAAACTTTATGGGACCAAAGTGTACATAATAGCTTTGGAACTCAGTAGAGTTTAAATGGGCGATTTACATTCACAAAAAACAGCTTAGACCCGGGTGCTAACGGCTAATGCTAATGCTCATAGGCTTGGTCTAAACCTGAGTCTAATTTTAATCCTCTCCTCTCTTCTTCTCCCACAGCAACAGCCCCTCCTCTCTCCCCCCGAAACACCACCTCCCCCCCTCCCCCCACCACCTCACTCTCCCCTCCCCTGCCCCACCCCTGCCTCTCTCCATCGCTGGTCTCCCCTCCCCTCATTACTCCATCCGCTCCCCCTCGCACCTCCCCCGCCACCCGGCCATGTTCGCCACCCCTGCCACCTTGCCACCACCGCCCACCCTGCCCACCAACAGCCTGGTGGTGCCCGGGCACCCGGCCGCTACGCCATACCCAGGTAAGAGTCCGCGCCACAACACCACCTCACACTGTGCGTGTAGTTTACAGTAGACCTGTTCAGGCTCCGCCCACAAACATCGGTTAAGATCTAAAGAGCGCTGGTAAAAATCCCATTCATCTAGCTCGTTATATCACAATACCCATTTAGTCATTATTCATTCAGCTATGAGAAACTTAGACAGCTTTATATCACAATACCTACATTTAGAGTCAGTTATTCATTCAGCCTAATGAGAAACTGTAGAACAGACTCAGTTTATATCACAATACCTACATTTAGAGTCGGTTATTCATTCAGCCTAATGAGAAACTGTAGAACAGACTCAGTTTATATCACAATACCTACATTTAGAGTCGGTTATTCATTCAGCCTAATGAGAAACTGTAGAACAGACTCAGTTTATATCACAATACCTACATTTAGAGTCGGTTATTCATTCAGCCTAAAGAGAAACTGTAGAACAGACTCAGTTTATATCACAATACCTACATTTAGAGTCAGTTATTCATTCAGCCTAATGAGAAACTGTTGAACAGACTCAGTTTATATCACAATACCTACATTTAGAGTCAGTTATTCATTCAACCTAATGAGAAACTGTAGAACAGACTCAGTTTATATCACAATACCTACATTTAGAGTCGGTTATTCATTCAGCCTAATGAGAAACTGTAGAACAGACTCAGTTTATATCACAATACCTACATTTAGAGTCGGTTATTCATTCAACCTAATGAGAAACTGTAGAACAGACTCAGTTTATATCACAATACCTACATTTAGAGTCAGTTATTCATTATGGAACCAATAGTGGTTCTTCTATGGCGTTGCCCTGAGGAACCCTTTTTGTTCCATTTAAGAGTGATGTTTAATTCATATAGAACCTTTACATTATATAAACTTTTAAAAGGTTTTTCACACTCATACATCTTATTTACCAAATATGGTACTTTGAAAGGTTCCTTAGGGTTCTTTTATGGCATCACTTCAAAAGAACCCTTTTGGTTCCATTTATATGTGACTTTTAATTCATCTTGAAGTACAATATATGAACCTTAAAGATTCTCCACACTCGTATATCTGATTTACCAAAATTCTTTGAAATTCTTTCAAATGTTCCTTAGGGAACCAAAAGTGGTTCTTCTGTATTACTGCCTTGAAGAATCTTTTTAGTTCACAATTAAGAGTGACCTTTAATTGGTATAGAACCATTACATTATGTGAACTTGACAAGGTTCTACATCTTTCACAAAAAAAATAAATAAAATGTTAATAGGTTTTTTAGGGAACCAAACATGGTTCTTTTTATGGCATCGCTTCAAAAGAACCCTGTTTGGTTTCATTTAAGCGTGACCTTAAATTGGTATAGAACCTTTGCAGTGTATGAACTTTGAAAAGTTACTTCACATTCATAGATCTCATTTACCAGAAAACATTTCTTGTGAGGTTCCGTTAGGAACCAAACATGGTTTTTCTGTGGCATTGCAGCAAAACTTTTTGTTCCTTTTGAGATCTTTGTTTTAAAGTGACCTGTAATTGTTATAGAATCTTTACATTGTGTGAACTCTGAAAGGTTCTTCATTGTTTCAAAAGAACTAGAACCATTTTTGGTTCCTCTAAAGAGGGAGTCTTTAAAAGGTTCTTTAGGGAAACATCTTTCATGGCAGTGCATCCTATTTGGTTACATTCATTGTTGTAGAACCTTTACATTGAACTTAAAAAGGTTCCTCATACTCATACACATCATTTACCAAAAGGTTCTTTGGAAAAAATTATAGAGAACCAAACATGGTTCTTCTCTGGCATCATTTCAAAAGAACCCATTTTGTTCCATTTCAGAGCTTTATTTTTAAAAGAGTCGGTATAGAATCATTTACCAAAAAAGGTTTTTTTTAAGGTTCCTTAGGGAACAAACAGTGGTTCTTTTATGGCTTGGCTTTAAAAGAACCCTTTTTAGTTCTGTTTGGGACCTTTATTTTTGAGAATGGCCTTTAATTGGTGTGGAACCATTACATTAAATGAACTTATTTTGAAAGGTTCTTTAGGCAGCAGCTTGAAAGAACCCTGTTTGGTTCCATTAATTGGTGTAGAGCCTTTACACCGAACCTAAAAAGGTTCCTCATACTCATACATATCATTTATAAAAAAGGTTCTTTGAAAAATGTATAGAGAACCAAATATGGTTCTTCTGGGGTATCACTTCAAAAGCACCCTTTTTTTGGTTCCATTTCAGAACTTTATTTTTAAGAGTTGGTACAGAACCTTTATATTATGTGAACATTAAAGGTTCTTCACACTCAAACATCTCATTTGCCAAAAAAGATTCTTTTCAAGGTTCCTTAGGAAACCAACAGTGGTTCTTTTATGGCATGGCTTCAAAAGAACCTTTTTGGTTCTATTTGAGACCTTTATTTTTAAGAATGACCTTTAATTGGTATAGAACTATTGCATTATATGAACTTAATTTGAAAGGTTCTTTAAAGGTTCCATTAAAGAATGACCTTAAGTTTCTACATCTCATTTTAAAAAAAAGAAGTATTTGAAAGGTTCTTTAGGGAACCAAAAGATATTCTTTTATGGCACAGCTTCAAAAGAACCCTTTTTGGTTCCATTGAAGAGTGACCTTAAGTTTCTATTTCTCGTTTACAAAAAAGAAGCCTTTAAAGGTTCTTTAGGGAACCAAAAGTTGTTCTTTTATGACATGGCTTCAAAATAACCCCTTTTTGGTTCCTTTGATTGGTATAGAACCTTTATTGTTACAAGTTTAAAGAGGTTCTTCACACCAAAACATCTCATTTACCAAAAAGGTTCTTTTCAAGGTTCCTTAAGGAACCAAAAATGGTTCTTTTATGGCACTGCTTTGAAAGAACCCTTTTTGGTTCCATTGAAGAGTGACCTTAAGTTTCTATTTCTCATTTACAAAAAAGAAGCCTTTAAGGGTTCTTTAGGGAACCAAAAGTGGTTCTTTTAAGGCACAGCTTCGAAAGAACCCTTTTTGGTTCCGTTGAAGAGTGACCTTAAGTTTCTATTTCTCATTTACAAAAAAGAAGCCTTTAAAGGTTCTTTAGGGAACCAAAAGCGGTTCTTTTAAGGCATGGCTTCAAAATAACCCCTTTTTGGTTCCATTGATTGGTATAGAACCTTTACGTTGTTAGAAGTTTAAAGAGGTTCTTCACACTCAAACATTTCATTTACCAAAAAAGGTTCGTTTCTCATTTACAAAAAAGAAGCCTTTAAAGGTTCTTTAGGGAACCAAAAGTGGTTCTTTTAAGGCACGGCTTCGAAAGAACCCTTTTCGGTTCCGTTGAAGAGTGACCTTAAGTTTCTATTTCTCATTTACAAAAAAGAAGCCTTTAAAGGTTCTTTAGGGAACCAAAAGTGGTTCTTTTAAGGCACGGCTTCGAAAGAGCCCCTTTGGTTCCGTCTGAGAGCTGTGTTGTTCAGAGTGTAGCTGTAGGGAGGAAGTTGTGTTTGTTTTCTGCTGAGGTGACTCTCGGTTCTCTCTTGTCTTCAGATACCAGCCTGTTGATATCATTCAACCAACCAATCATGTATTGCCAGCCTCATTCGGGGATTCTGATTGGCACATTGTCACAGGCAACTCTCTTACCACCACCAATGAGTCCTCACGTAGAAAACCCTCACAGCTTGAATTGGAGAAACAGAGAAGGCCAGGTGACTATTCTCTTTCTCTTCTTTTCGCTGTTGTGAAAACTCACTGGCCGCCGTTGCCTTTTTGTTTTTCTTTTCCTTTTTGTTTCTTTTTTCCCCTCCTTTGTCTTCCCTCCATTTTTTTTTGTTCGTTTGTTTCCTTTCCCCTGCTTTTCTCCCCTCCCCTTCGCTCTCCTTTCTTGCAGAGCATGACCTTCTTCGTCAGGAGCTGAACAACCGATTCCTGGTTCAAAGTTCCGAGCGTGGGGCTCGGGGGTCAGCGCCCGGAGCGGCCGGCTCCCCGTTGGCCCCCATGTCGCTCCTGAGGGCAGAGTTTCACCAACACCAGCATATGCACCAGCATCAACACACGCACCAGCACACCTTCACGCCTTTCCCCGCCAGCCTGCCCCCGGCCGCCATCATTGGGCCGCCCACTGCACCTCCCATGGTGCGTACCGCAGCCAGAAATGTGAGGATAAGTAAAATAAGATCGGACAGATCTAATCTCACATCCTACCCACAATCCCCAGCCCTTAAATACGCCCCCCCCCCGCTCTTCGGAAATGGGACCGCGATGGGATACGTCCTAATAACACAGCTAGCTAATGCTAATTTAGTGAAGATATTGTAGGGAAGTTCTTATAAACTGAGGACCCAGCTGTCAAATAAACAACACTCAGAAATAGGGTGATGCGTGCTAATAACACAACTAGCTAACACTTTTTAAGGAAAAACTACAACGTGAGGACAGAACAAGCTGAAATAAACATTACTCAGGAACAGGAGCGATGTTAGAATACATGCTAATAGCCAGATAATGCAATTTTATTATTTACAATTTGAGGACAGAGTTTGAGCTCAAATAAACAAAAAAATATTCATAAACAAAATAATATGGTACTAGATACATGCTAATAGCTAACAAACGCTATTTTAGGGAAAAAAACACCTCTTGACACAGCTCAAGCTCAAATAAACAAACATTACTCGGAAATGAGACAGTTCTAGTAAACATGCTAATAGCTAGCTAACGCAATTTTTAATTTTACAATTTGAGGACAGAGTTTGAGCTCAAATAAACAAACATTATTCAGAAATAACTCTTGTGGCTCTTGGCTACATTGTAAATGAAGGCTCCCCTCAATGTAAACCCTACCTTAAATAAAGAATAGATAATATGGTGCTAGAATACGTGCTAATAGCTAACTAACGCTATTTTAGGGAAAAACACCTCTTGTCAAGCTCAAATAAGCAAACATTACTCAGGAAGGGGGGCGATGTTAGAATACGTGCTAATAGCTAGCTAACGCAATTTTAGTTTTTACAATTTGAGGACAGAGTTTGAGCTCAAATAAACAAACATTATTCAGAAATAATGTGGCGCTAGAATACATGCTAATAGCTAAACAAATGCTATTTTAATTTTTACAATTTTAGGACAGAGCTAGGGAGGTGCTATAGCACATGCTAATAACAGAACTAGCTAACACTGTTTTAGGGAAAAAACTACAACTTGAGGACAGAACAAACTCAAATAAACAAACATTACTCAGGAATGGGAACGATGTTAGAATACATGCTAATAGCTAACTAACGCAATTTTATTATTTAAAATTTGAGGACAGAGTTTGAGCTCAAATAAATAATATGGTACTAGATACATGCTTATGTCTAACAAACGCTATTTTGGGGAAAATAGCCTCTTGACACAGTTCAAGCTCAAATAAACAAACATTACTCCGAAACGAGACAGTTCTAGAAAACATGCTAATAGCTACGTAATGCTATTTTATAAATTTTTTACAATCTGAGGACAGAGCTTGAGATCAATTGAACAAATATCAGTCAGATATAGAAGTAAAACACAAACATCAGTCAGAAATAGGACTAGAGTAGATGCTAGTCGCTAGCTAACACTGTTTTAGGGAAAGAAATGTACACTTTGAGGACACAGAGCTCAAATAAACAAACATTGCTCAGAATCGGGACAGTGCTAAAGTATGAGCCAGTAACATTAGACTTAGTTACCAAGCTAGTTAATGTTGTTTTGCTTACAAAGGTAAGACGGATGCAGCACAAGCGCTAATAAACTAGAATAGCTATAATACTTGCTTGTGTAAGTCGTCTTAGCTACTTAGCTACCTAATATATTTTAACAAAACTGTTTACAAAGGTAGCTGAAGCTCGAGCTCAAATAAGCAAACATTACTGGCTGCTTCATTCTGAAAGTTGTATTGTTAGAAGTTCAAAAAGCTTAGCATTTGCTAGCCAACTGTAACAAACTGTTTGAAGTGATTTAAACATCAATCGACATCACAACACGTAATTTTAGTACACATGCTGGTGCACTTAGTGATGTCAGAGTGCTTGGTGACTTTATCCTCAACTGGAACTGCGAGTGTTCACGAAGATAAAAGAGAATTTCCAGCTGCAGCTCAAATAAACAAACTTTACTCACCGCCGCCCTCTACAGGCATCACTCAGCGGCCTGTACTGCAGCCAGAAATGTGGGAAAAAAAGTTCTACAGATCAAATCTCCCATCCTACCCACAATCCCCGGCCCTGAAATATGTCCACTGTTCATTGGAAACAGGACTGTGCCGATAGCATTAGCACTAGCTAAGCTAACATTGCCTTAAAAAAACTTTAGAGTGAAAACAGAAACAGCTCGAGCTCAAATAAACAAACAGTACTCATCGCTGCCCCCAAAGGTGTCACTGCAACTTAGCATTACCCAACAAAACATTACCTTAGCATTACCTGCCATAACGTTATCTTAGCATTACCTACCATAACGTTATCTTAGCATTACCTACCATAACATTACCTTAGCATTACCTGCCATAACATTAACTTAGCATTACCTGCCATAACGTTATCTTAACATTACCTAACATAACATTAACTTAGCATTACCTAACATAACGTTATCTTAGCATTACCTGCCATAACATTAACTTAGCATTACCTACCATAACGTTATCTTAGCATTACCTACCATAACATTAACTTAGCATTACCTAACATAACGTTATCTTAGCATTTCCTACCATAACATTAACTTAGCATTAACTGCCATAACGTTATCTTAACATTACCTAACATAACATTAACTTAGCATTACCTAACATAACGTTATCTTAGCATTACCTGCCATAACATTAACTTAGCACTACCTACCATAATGTTATCTTAGCATTACCTAACATAACATTAACTTAGCATTACCTAACATAACGTTATCTTAGCATTACCTGCCATAACATTAACTTAGCATTACCTGCCATAACATTAACTTAGCATTACCTGCCATAACGTTATCTTAACATTACCTAACATAACATTAACTTAGCATTACCTAACATAACGTTATCTTAGCATTACCTGCCGTAACATTAACTTAGCATTACCTACCATAACGTTATCTTAACATTACCTAACATAACATTAAGTTAGGATTACCTGCCATAACGTTATCTTAGCATTACCTACCATAACATTAACTTAGCATTACCTACCATAACGTTATCTTAGTATTACCTGCCATAACATTAACTTAGCATTACGTACCATAAGATTACCTTAGCATTACCTGCCATAATGTTATCTTAGCATCACCTGCCATAACATTATCTTACCATGACCTACCGTAGCATTACCTTAGCGTTACCCACCATAACATTACCTTAGCATTACCTACCAAAATGTTATCTTAGCATTACCTACATTACCTTATGTTAGCATTACCTACCATAACATTACCTTAGCATTACCTAGCATACCATAACAAATGTATATCCTACATTCTTTCATTATATATATTTAGCCTTACTGTGGCTCCTTCACAGCGTATTGATTAGCATGTGTGGGCGATTATTAATTAACACTAAGCCGTGAAGCCTGGACTCCCTGAAGCTCCAACTGAAGAGGCGTTAAACTGAACAAACTCTCACAAGCTTTTCACACTCCTGTCATAACAAGATCAACCTTCAGCCCCAACAACTGCAAATATTGACACTCCTGCTGTGATGCACTCACTGCCATGTTTAACCCTGTAGGTCTGAACTTGAGGCCACTGCAACGTTTACACCACGTAAACACTGATTTCAACATTAGGTTAAAGGGGAACTCCACTGATTTAGTCAAAAATTCCACCATAACTCAGTGTGTGAGATGTAAACAGAGAGATTCAGAGTGGTTTGGTGTGAAATGGTTCAGATGTCTTTACAGTGGTGGTGATAGGAACCAGGGGTCGCCATGACTACAACACAAATATAGACATTTTATTTACTATCCAAAACCACCAGTGAACCTACGCGAGTCTTCTGAGTTTATATGGAATGTTGATGATGGAAAATAGTGGAAAGATGGGGAAAAAAGTTTTCTTTGGGGACTATTTTGCCTCACAACACCCTGCATGTATCCCTCCACCATGAAGGAGTTTAAAATACATTTTAGACCAAAATCTGCTGTGATATAAACATAAAATATGTTGATATATTAAGGATACACAACTGCATTTCCAAAAAAGTTGGGATCTGTGCAGAATGTAAATAAAAACAGGATGCAATGTTGTGCAAATCATCTAAACCATATTTCTAAAGGAAAATACTACAGAGACAACAAATCAAATGTTGAAACTGAGAAATTCTATTGTTTTTTGAAAAATATTTGCCCATTTTGAATTTGATGCCAACAACACGTTCCGAAAAAAGTTGGGACGGGGGCCTGTTTACCACTGTGTTTCATCACCTCTTCTTTAACAACACACTAAGTGTTTGGGAACTGAGGAGACACTGCTGTAGTTTAGAAAGTGAAATGTTTTCCATTCTTGTTTGATACAGGATTTCAGCTGCTCATCAGTTCAGGGTCTCCTAGCAATGCTGTTGTAATACATGCAGAATGTGGTTTTACATTGTCTTGCTGAAATAATCAAGACCTTCCCTGAAAAAGACGTCGTCTGGATGGCAGCATATGTTGCCAAAACATGTATATATCGTTCAGCATTAATGGTGCCTTCACAGATGAGCACGTCACCCATGCCATGTGCACTAATGCCCCCTATACCATCATGAACACTGGCATTTGCTAGCAAGCTGCACTGATAGCAAGCCGAGCGGTCTTTAGCCCGGAGGACACAGTGTCCATTATTTCCAAAAAGAATTTCAAATGTTGATTCATTGGACCACAGGACACTTTTCCACTTCATAGTCCATTTTTAAAGAGCTCGGGCCCAGAGAAGGTGGCAGCGTTTCTGGATCCATCATTATTTAGCCTTTTTTTACTATCCAAAACAATCAGTGAACCTGCATGTGTCTTTTGAGTTTTTATATGTAATCTTGATGACATTAAAATAGCAAAATCTGGAAAAATGAATTTTAGAGGTGGACGTCTGGTTCCTATAACAACCACAGTGTGCAATTCTGTAAGTTTTTTAGAACAGATCATTTCACGCCAAACCTCTCTGAC